AACTGGGACTTTAAAGGAAAGTTACATAATGCAGACTGGGGCTTTTATCGCAGTGAGGCACCTCCAAATTTCTCTCCTGGTCAAATGATTCCAGAAACTCCTGACTGTTGTTTCTGTGTTTTTCAGCAGGAATCAGAGCTGAATAAAGACAGACAGAGCTGCACAGGCTCACAGACTCTTGTACAGTATGGTAGGTGGGTGGATGTGTGTGGTGTTGGTAAAGACAGAATATGAATATTGTGGGATAAGGATGATGATATGAATTCCCCTCTGCAGGGATTTGGACAACGCACAGATAAAAGTGGCTGCTTGTTCTTCCAGGCTGATAAGCGTAATTGAAAACAGCACCTGCAGTGTTAGCTTACTTCTCATGAAGGAGCACATTCAAAGGACTCTGAGGAGATGTGACGTGGGTTTAGCCAAACTAAATTAGACCCTGCCGCTGAATTTTCATCAAGGTTTTTCTCAGAACAAGACAAAACTTTTAATTGTTTTTTGATTCATCTCTTAAAGTATATCTTTCATATTTTTGGCCTGGAAATAACATGACGCCTAAAATCTAGCAATAAGCACTAAGAGTGAAACAGTCTGTGGTGGGCATCTAATCCATAGACTGTCTGTGTCCCACTTCAGGTGCCGCATCCTTCAGAGGGTGCACTTGATTACGTCACAGCAGTGCATTGAATGCTGTCACCTTTCAAAAGCTCCTTCAAATGCGGCAGACTAATGCATCTTCCTTTCCCCGTGCAACAAAGGATGTATCTGGTGCATCACTAATTACTTATTAGTAGGGCTGTCAGCGGTGACGTGTAAATCGCAATGAGATTAAGGTCGGAATCAATGCTTAAGAACGTACAAAATACAAAGTAAAAGCATGATAAAATACAGTTTCTTGAGAAAAGATCCTGGCTTTATGGTTGAGTTACTAAAACAGAGAAAGAAACTAAACTGGAACTCCAGAGAAGTCCAAATGCTGTTGAACCAACTGGGAATCTCTGGAGGTCAGTGAGTCATTTTGTGCATGCTCTCCGTCATATTTCATAATGTGTAACGTTAAATGCTGCATTTCACTGAATAAGCACTTTGAAGCCATTTTCACATATGCACCCTGAAATCATCCTGATGTTGTTCACACATGCACCTCACAGCAGACGGGGTGTTTCCTGAGGTAAGTTGTAGCTTAAAAAGAACGACGGGTAATCGACGCGGCCGAAGAAACTGAGTCTGTTATACAATAATGAGAATATTTGCCTTTATATCAACCATGTGTAGTTGACAGAATCACAAAATCAACAAAGGAAGAAGAACATACTGGAGAACATAATACATAATGCAGACTTGTAAATAAGTGTACTGTTAGTTTGTTTTTTCATATATTCATTTTGGTCATTTTGTGGATATATTATTTTAAATCTGTCTAAACATATAAGGGTTCTTTTTTCTTTTCTTTTTTAGGTCTGTATAGATGTAACAGTATGTGTAAGACCCCCATAGCAGCAGATCTATATTTGGATAGAAGCCAGGTTAATGTTGTGAGCTTGAAAGGAAACAAGGTTTGCTCAGACTGGAATGTATAAGTCTGACATTTATAAGTAAGGGTGATGTCACCTTTCTAGCCTTTTAGGAGCATATAAATAGAAAGCAATTTGTAGGCTGTGGCTTCAAGACTGCTAACGTGAAAGGTTTGTCAGCCATTCTCACCCTGTTGCTGTTCTGTCTGACCTTGGCTGAATAAATGGAGTAAATCAACAGTCTGATTCATGATTTCATCATTGAGCATTAACAGAAGAAACCCCAGATCATGTACCCAGATCACAACAGTCACATGCATACAGTACAGTCTAAGGTCATGCACCGACAGCAGGGTACAAACGTCACCACCCCCTCCCACTCGCTCGAGAGGAATTCTCCTGATTATAATCTGCTGCTTCAACTTCTCACATCAGCTCACTCAGACTTTCTGAGGAAAAAAATATTGGAGGACCAGCAGGAGAAACTATGCATGAAGTCTGAGTGAAAGATTCTGCTTTTGTGATCACACATGCAGCTCACCTTGAAAACTTCAGGAGTTAAGTGCAAGTTTGAAAGCCATAGAAGTCATGCTTTCAGATCACACTAGTGTAGCTGTGCAGCACTATTTCAATAATAAACCAGTCCAGATTAACTATTGAAACATCTTCATTTTATAGCCTTCCTTAGCTGCCTCAAAACTAAGTATGTAATTTAACGTTAGTAAAATTGCAGTTACATAAAGTTTAATTATTCAATTTAAGCACATAACATAACAGAAAAGATCCAACCAAACACAGCCAATAATTGTCTGGAATAGTCAATAAAGTTACATTATTCATGGACACATGGCTCAGAGGAGTTGAGCACAAGTATTACATCTGTGACCGCGCACTCTCAGTTATTGCTTTTTGTTGCTTTACTGTCATTTACTCCGGTGTAAGTCAGTAACCATATATTACCCTGCTACAAGATTCAGGCAGGTTTTCAGCATATTTGAGGTCACATCTCTGATCACATAAACTTTGAAGGGCTGAGTGAGAAACTGTCTGTGGCCGACCTCTGTGAGAATTTAATATTACAATTATAACAAATTCTTCTTTTCAATCATTTATCTGAATGTTATTGGACACAAGTGCACTTTCTCCTCCTCTGGATAAAAGCTGAAATGTTAAAGTACAAGTTTGAAATTTACAGCTGAGAAAAAGGAAATTCAATATGACAATAGGAGCAGCAACACACGTCATTAGGCTTCATGAACATATAAATCCCTGCAGAGCTGTGAGCCAAATGTGCTGAAATATGCTGGTGTGTGTTCAGTAACCTCACACTGAATGTTCAGTGCCAGCTGATATGACACAGCCTCATGACGTCTTCTCCTCCCGTCGAGGATGAGGTGTCGGTTCACCTTGAAATTAAAGGACACTGACTCTCGGGGGGAATATCAGAACACAAAATGTCAGACATTTACATTTTCCTATCGCTGATAGTTGAAGATTTGTTTTCTTGGCCTGAAACAAGTCATATCACACAGTGTGACATTTATTTCACAGCTCTCTGGACAAATCCGGCTTTATGAAACACCCTCCAGGTGAACCAGGTGGGGGTGCAGTCTGTCTCTTACTGAAGTGTGGCGCCCTCTGGTGGTTAAACTGTCACATTTTGTATTTGTCATAATACAGAACTTTAAATACCGTCTCTATTTGGAATTTTAAAACGTAAATCTGACCTACTTTTTACAGACTTTTGTCTTCTTCATTGCCTTGGTGGCATATTTTTCCCATCAGGAAGGCTGTGTGCATAAAGTTGTATTCCCTGCCATTTTCCTTCATAGGAATGCTTTCTACACTTTCTATTTAACAATCCATAATGAGAAATAATCAAAATGTAGCATAAATATGCATTGCTTGTTACACTGCATACAAACATAAAGCCTTAACACAAAGGCCTTTTTGTTCCTAACACTTCTTGTTAGGAGCTTGTGTTGCTATCGCTGTTAGCTTACACGTTTAGCTGTGTAAGCCAAACCACATTTGTATAAACTTTCAGATCGATTTTGGACAATTAAAATTAGTTTTAATGTTTTTTATTTGTAGAAGTGAATAAATGTAACAGTAGGTTATATGCAATGTTTACGTGGAGAGAAGTCATCTGTCTGAAATCTGTTTCTCTGCATGTAGGATGTTTCAGGTTGTTTTTAACACCACCGTGTCTGTCTTGATGTGCAGGCTACCTACCACAAAACTTATTTTATAGCAACATTGAACGCATCTCGTTTGACAGAATGGCACAGTGGGACCGTGGGTCGCATCGACGAGGTGGCCGAGTGGTTAAGGCGATGGACTGCTAATCCATTGTGCTCTGCACGCGTGGGTTCGAATCCCATCCTCGTCGACATTCAACTTTTTTTCACGCTGCAGATTCTCACGTGGTCACTCAACATCTGTTCATGTTTGTGACGCTAAAATAACGCTGCATTCACGAGATGACGGAATAGTCGGAAATTTGTTTTCCAAACGATAAAATTCAGGTATGTTCCCCAACTTTGAAGATAGATAGATTATAGATAGATTATAGATATAGATATAGATAGATTGATAGATAGATAGATAGATAGATAGATAGATAGAGTTCTGTCACTATATGTGATAGACAATCAAAAAAATATTTAATCTTGAATCTTGAAATACGAAACTGAACTTTAAAAATAAAAACAAAATGAGAGGAAATATATGGAAAAAGAAACATAATGTCAAATATATCTCTTCAACATGATGTTAACTTGCCTGGTTTGATGTTTCCTTTATTAAGGCAACATGTTTATGTGACTTCTTTTAACTCTTGGTGCCAAATGGCGTAATAAACTGTCAATAAGTTGGTAATTGCTCGATGTCCTTGACTTGTGTGTCAAACAAACTCAAGGGAAAACAGAAAATAGATTCAGCATAACGAGTGAATAGTGAGGAAAAATCTGAATCTTCTACATTATAATGGCAAAGTATATAATACACAAATACATAAATACACATGGTTCTTAAACTTATAGAATAAAGCTTGACAAATAGAGCTAAAGTACAAAAATACATGGAGTGGATGAATATATACATTTAAACATGTCAGTGTACGGGATATATCTATACCGCCCCCTCCTGGCGTTAAAGCAAACAATGGAATAAAAGATTAAATGAAAGACAGGACATGAAAATAAGAATTGACTCATGTTAAAAAATAAATGATGCTCTATTTTGTACATGTTTGTTCTTAAAAAATGTTTTGAATGACAAGTCATGCGAAGTAGCGACTTCCGGCGTCACCCTTCAAAGTAAAACTACCAAAATAGATACCCTAGCTGAGCGTGATTTTATTAAATAACTTTAGTAAATTAATTTTCATATAAGAAAGAAGACGTTTATTATCTACAGTTCCATAAACATGCAGCCTGTTTGCAGAAACAGCCTTGTGTCGGTTCACGTTAACTGAGCATGCGCCACTATCATAAACAGGAAGTGTGTCTGCAGACTTGTCTTAATCTCTTTCAGTGTGTTTTTGTTTTACTGTGTTTTAAGTCCAGCAGCTGCAGAAACGTCGTGCGGATCTCTGAAACATGGCTATAGAAGCGTGGTTCATGGACAGCTCGGAAGAAGACCCGAAAAAGCCGCACAGACTGGAGCCGAACCAGTCCGTGTCTCTGGACCAGTTAAGGGAGCTGGGGGTCTTTTCATGGCAGGTAAGTCATGCTGGTTCAATGCATTCCTCATGACAGCTGTAAACTAACAGATGCATGTTTCTATCAGTACTCTGTTTAGCAAAGGGCAACTTTGTCCTTTGACATTGTTTCTTAATAATTAACAGCTTCTCTCAGTTCATCACTAATTCATGTTATATAACTACAAATCAAAACAAATATGTCCACTCTTTGGCTGTAGTTTTTAAAAGATGAGCAAGTAAAAGTTGAAACTATTGATATGTACAAAAATCAGAAGCGAATAAAGAAGTAAAGCCAGTGAGAATAAACAAAAAAAACCTGAATGAAGTTGTTATTTTGAACTTTCAGCACCCTGCAGGTTAGTTGGTTAGGTTATTATCACGAGAGATTATCATTACATAACAGACACAGTTAGAGACTCATGTAAACTTTGCTGCTGCACTGAGTGATTTAATACATAGTTTAAAAAAAAATGACATACAAGTGATGGAAATTATTTCTAATCTGACCTATTCAGATAATTTGTCTCAGATCAGCAGTAAGAGCTGACTCTGAGCATTTTAAAGACTGATACTTTGGTTTTATTATTTCAGCTATTTTTGCTTGATTTCAACCCATGATTGTTGTAAATGCACATGTAAGGCTTTTATTTCTTTACATGCTTGTTCTCAGCCTTATAACACTCACTGCTCAGAGTACAATAACATTAGATAGATAGACTTTATTTGACATGGACATCACAGATACATTGGACGAACCAGATGCATTATTTAAGTGTTTTAGCATACATGCTAGTTCTAAACAACACCTGTCCACAGGGAGAAAAGCATTAAGACAGAGAAAAACAATAAAGAGAATGAATAAATAATAAAGAAGTGATAGAATAGAGAAAAGAGTCAAATATCAACATTCCCCATTAAGTGGTTATAAAAGTGAACAGACACATATTCTTTTCTTGACTATTTTCTAATTTGTTACCAGATATAAACCCTAAATATTTCTCATCTTCAAGACATTGAAATAGCAGCTCATTTAATGACGTATAAGTGGAATAAGTCCAACTATCCAGTCGGCTCCCTTCATTAGTTTGAACAATCTCTTACAGCCAACTTGTTCCACACATGTTTGTATTTAACGTTTAGTGTCTGATCAGAGCCGTTGTTCTGTTGTTACAGCTGAACGCTGACATCCATGAGAACGACCCCGAGCTGGAAAAGATCAGAAAAGATCAAGGCTACTCCTACATGGACATAATCACTATTCACAGGGACACACTACCCGACTACGATGAAAAGGTAACACCCTGACATTTAAAATAAATCTAATATTTGTTTTTATCCTGAAGAGCTGGTTCTTTGTTTGGGGAAAAAAGTCAGACTACAACTAAAAGTGAATAGAAAAAAATATTTACATTCGCGTTTGTATCCTTTTGTGGCGTTTAGCAGATTGTGGTTTCAGAGGTTACTGCACACATGAGAAAAATGATTTTAACTTCCTGATTCCAAATGCTAGTGGTTCACAAAGTGAGCGTCGAGAGCCACCAAGATGGGGGGGGGGGGGTTGTGAGATGGCTTTCATAACTGTTGAAAAAAAAAAGTGACACTGCATCACTCAGGCCTGTTTGTCTCTTTGTGTCGGTCAGTTGAAGGTTTTATATTCGGAGCATCTGCACCTGGATGATGAGATCCGCTACATCCTGGATGGCCACGCCTACTTTGACATCAGGGACAAACAGGAAAGGTGGATCCGCATCTTCTTGGCCAAGGGGGACCTGATCACACTCCCTGCTGGCATCTACCACCGCTTCACCCCGGACGAAACCGTACGTTACATAATACTACTTTATATCTCAGTGTGAGTCAATTTCTGGATTCTGATTGGCAGTTGTCAACTAATTAATGACAATAGACACTTTTCAAGTAGTTTTCACAGTTCTAAGGTAAAAGGCTTTAGCCAGTGTTGAAAATGAAGTGCAAAATCCTGCAGTTCGTCGAGTGTCCACTAGAGGCTGGCTCCAAGAGCCCGGGAGTCACATACACACCCATTTTAAAAAAGACAGTTTTTACTGCATAAATAAACATGTTTACAGCCTGGTAGAAAAAAGATATAGGTCTGATTAGTTATAGTCCTCATGGACACACACACACTGTACAGGGGGTGATTTTAAAATTCTGCATCTGTCGTTATGTTGACTGAAAGTTAGACTGAGACAGGATTTCCAACATGGCGGCTGCTGCTGATGAGCCTCATTTAAAGCCACATTTCTTGGAGTCGTCTGCTTCATGGCTTTGGTGGTGAGTATGTTCTGACAGTGTCAGCAATACACTGCAGTAAACTGGAGTACATGAGATGACATTTAAATGATACCTGAGGACAGTTTGCTGCAGAAAAGAAAAATATTTGATTAAGACTGAAGCAAATATGGAGAGGACATGCTGACTGGTGTTTCCATACGGCAGAATACAAACATAAAAATGTACGGATGAGTTTTAATTTAACCGTAGTTTTTAAAATGTCTTTCTAGTTGACATGTCTAAAGAAGACATATTTGTGTCCAGAGACACAGCTTCATCAAAGTGTTGCAGCTGTGTGGTGAGCCATGAATGTCTGCTTTGTCTTTACTTCAGCCAGGGGCAAGTGGAGCTCTGTTTGTTTTTACTTTTAAGAAAGGTTTACTTTGACATTTGGACAAACTCTACAGTTTTTCTTCAGGGAGGGGAGTTACTAAACAAGCGTCTACTGCATGGTCGGTGGTCTTGAGCCTGTTGATTTATACGGAAAGTAGACAAACAGGTGAAGAACATTATGTCTTTACAAGTTTCCTTTATTCTCTAAGAAGCAGACAGCTTCCCTTTAGACAGCCGAGGGTGGGACTGAAAGCTGGAAATCTCATTCCCATTGCATAAAGTGGTATTTCAATGGAAAATTTCCCCTGATAAATCCAGGTAAAAAGTAACACAAAAAAGCCTACTTGCTTTTCATTTGAAAAAAACCAGCAAACGCAACAAGAAACAAATTACGCAAGATTTTGTAAAATGTTTGCCTTTTATATCTTGAAATATGACTTTTATCTGGACTTGTCAGGTGAATGTGGGTCATGTTGGGTATAACGAGAAGTTTTGGGACTAGAAATACAACAAATAAAATGTACAAAAAATATAAATTAAATGTCTTCAATTTCTTCTCAGTTTTTTTATTTTCTAGCTGCATTCAAGTCATCAAAACATAAATGAGAAATGGATGAATAAATCCCTCCTATTGAGAGATTTATGTTCTTAACAGGCAGTGTTATTTGTAAACGGAAGCTTTGACTGATAGAGGCTGATGTGTTCACAGTGCAATCATGTAGAAAGGTGAACAGGAAATACTTCTCAGGTGTCCAGTTGTCAAGAATAAGTTGACTCTCTCCAGTATCCAAAGTCCAGTATTCATGGAGTGCCAATGGCCTCGGCCCATGTATGGAGGCTGTGGTTCTGCAAGCAGGTGATTATTGTTTGAATCCTCTCTCTCTCTCTCTCTCGCTCTCCCTGGTGTCCAACTCTATCCACTGTCCTATCAAAGAAAGGCATAAGAGCCACAAAATCGATCCTTACAAAAAGCATTCACCCAGACCCTGGAATAAAATGGATTTAAGATAAACCCAGATTTACTTCAACCATTCAACATTTAATGAACTTCTAAATGTTCTGTCACATTCACATTCACAAGGAACCATGTGTCTTCCCTGTTCATTTCATAAAGGAATAATGATTCCTCTGCAGGAGATATAAATGAAGCATTGAAGCTCCAGTCTTCAGCATTTAGAGAATTTGACCAGCTCTTTTTGGCAGCAATTTATTTTATTCTTTCAGGAACTTCAAAGAAGAGAAATTCAGCCTCAGCGGCAGCCTTCGTCTTGAGACTGCCTGAACTCAAAGTCTTACTTTTACTGCTGCTAGTTTATTAGCTTCTGGCTAGCTAAGTGAACTGGCTTCTGTGAGGGAAGTTAATTCTTGTTGATATGTAGGACTACATGACACATTCTGTTGTTTGTGTTTGTGTTTCTCAGGAGTACACAAAAGCCATGAGGCTGTTTGTCGGGGAGCCGGTGTGGAAAGCTTACAACCGGCCTGCGGATGAGTTCGAGATCCGTCAGAAGTACGTGGCTTCTCTGCAGGGATCCTGAGAGAGCGAGAGCTGCAACACTAAACATTCATGTCAACTACAGAGCAGATTCCATACGAACACCGAGCGCAGTAGAATAAGAGTTTCTCATGTGATTCTGCAGAGGCAAACAAAAGTAGGTTTATAATGAAAAATATTTTTACATGTGGATCATTTAAAGATCTTCTGTAGCAGAGAAGACGTCATTTTCTCTTTTAGCTAGATTTGACATTTCAGTGGGTAAGCTACACGTTTATTCATCTTACTGACATTTTCTTTGACGATTTCTACTATGTACTTACATACACAATTAGTTCTCCATTAAAAAGCTTTAATCAAATGGTATAGATGTATGCATGAATATTGATAAAGTATTATAGAGCATTGTAAAGGGGCCTATTTGAACTCTTATATTTTTGATATCTGAGCATGATTTGATTTAACAAGTGTGACTTAGTGCCATCTAGTGGTGCCATCTAGAGGTTTCAGATTGCACCCCTCTCCTCCAGTTTTAATGGCTGAATCTCGATGTCCTCCCTAAACCCTTACTGACTTTATTGACGTCACCTGGAAAGTGATTGAGTGCGTGAGCTGCGAGGCCTCTAACGGTTAAATACAAATGGGTCAGCACTTTGCGACTTTGACTCTGTAACCATGACAGCATGATGTAATGTGGCAAAAGCTTATTTAACGTTTTTTACTTTTCTCACTCACTGCCATGACGCTTATAAAAAGTTCTACTCAATATAGACCTTTATATAAATGTATTAGTTGTGGGATAAATAAAGATTTATCTTATCTTATATATAAGTTATAAATATAACAGGACTAATATGCTCTGTCTCTCTTGTTTACGTTTATAGACTTGCAGTAGACTTCTGAATTAGCTGTAGTTTCCAAATAACCTTTTGTAGTAGACTGTAAATAGAGCCTGGATTCACCTTCTACCTTTTTTCCGTTTTATGGTGTTTGTTTACCTTTCAATTCTTGTGGGCTTCCCCGGGAAATCATATGTTTCACGTCACAATGCTATGAACCATGGGTAATTCCCTCACGTTAAGTCTGCAGATATGCCCACTTCAAACAGGGTGCATAAAGGGCTCGTAAAGTCAGCGAGAGATCCCTCAAACACTTGATGGTTTACAGTGGGAGGGCAGCACTAAGCCCTCACAGACTTACTGGGAACGCGCATCAAAGTCAGTGAGTGTGTGAGGGTGGACATCGAGATTGGGCCAACGTGTGGCTGCATAAACTTCCAACAGTCAAGATTTTGAGCCTGAGTTTTGTTTGTCCCGCCTGGGCTACTGTAGAAACTTGGCAGTGCAAAATGAAAAGCTCTGTGGGGAAAAATGTAATTCTCCCTCTGTGGGCATAAAGGGCTTAGTCAAAAGATACAGATATCCAAAAGTTCTTTCAGGTGATTTAACAACAAGTAAAACAGGTAAAACTGTTTTTTTATTTCCCCCTTAGCAAAACATCCCTTGTTCTTAGACCTTTAAGTTTTATTTGATTGAGGGCTACGACTCATAAAGGAGTATTTTCTTAATTTTTAGGGCGTAAATAAACACAACAGAATAATCACTGGTGCCTTATTCTCAAACATTTGTACTTGGTCTCTGATAGGCTATCAGACTTCCCCCCCTTAACAGCATGTATTAAACAAAATCATGCAGCTTATGAGCATCATTTCTAATTCCATATTCAAATGTAACTGACTTCGAGATGCATCGGTTCAACATCGGTATCGACCGCCCTGTTTTTCAGACATCGACAAATAATGTGACGCGAGCCGATGTCAGTAGCTGATGTTCGTCTGTTGTGCCAAATCAATTTAATGCGGACATCTAGTTCTCCAAACTACTGATTCAGAGAAGAGGGTTGATTTGGGCAGAAGAAGTCACCTGTTGGACAAACTCACACTTGTTTTCAGTGTCAAACTCGAGAGAAAATGTCGGCAATGTGGGAGTCTGACACCAAAAGAAGTCAGGAAACAAACATCGGCAAAGGTTATAGATTTCTGTTCTGTGGAAAATAAAGCTGCTCTACTGTGCGCTCTGTGTTTCCTTTTGTTTCCTCTTCACATTGAACCGACAGAGTTGATTTAAAAGCACATTTTTATTTAGGATAAAAAGAAAAGCTTTATAATAATATACATTAATATGATCAGCACAGTAAGTAAACAGTGATAATTAAAGATCCATCAGGACAAATCACAAAAAAAAATAATAATAAACTTAGTGATTTATGATATAATTATTTTAACAGAAAAAAAAAAATCATCCTTTCGATATGTACAAATTTACATCATGGTGTAGTGGACAGGATGTGTGAATAATGACCCCGGCAGTTTTAAAAAGAAGTGGTTTGTGACTGTTAATGCATTAGGTGTGTGCTGATGGAGAAGCTTTGGACCTGTGTGGTAGTTTATTAGTCACACTGACGCTCAGGATAATGCCCGTGTCCGAGTCTCAAGTTATGAACCGACAACTCCCTTAAACCCAGCTGTCTCCTCCACTCTCACGATGCTTCATGGAGGATTAGTCGTCTGTTGTCAAGTGGTGGGAAAAACAACTGAGGAATAGTTTGACACTTCAGGTGATTCTTTTTTACACTTTAATCCGTTGATTAAATAAATAAACATGTCTGCACCCTTAATATGAGGCTCTGCTTAGCTGACTAGTGGATTCAGGTGGACTGAGACCTGCATGATGAGGGTCACATCTCAGATGACGGTAGAACAAGATGTCCTCCTAACAGTAAAGGTAAGACGATAGTAAAGCTGGTTTGACATACTGCTGCACTTTTACTTATCGTTGCTAAAGCTGCTCCTCGTCACTGTGACCGAAATGTTAAAGCGAACTAGAGTTTGGTAACAAGCTGAGCTCCCTTACAAAAATAAATATCCCTCATGATTCTGGTGCTAAAATAGCACCCAGTTGACCAGATTTTAAAATCATGATAACATGTTCATTTAATCACAGAATTGTCCCTTATTCTTCCAAATGTGTTCCTCTCAGGCTGTGGTTCATTTGGTTCAAGTTGTCTGTATAAAAAAAGGATCAGAAAATGAAAAGACAACAGCTCCGTAGATGGATTTAAAAAAAAGTAGAAGTGTGTCTACATTTTTGTGAGAAAAATAATTTAAAAAGTGGAACAATAATAATATTTACTAACATGTGACACATCTGGAAGTGAACATGCCAGAAGAAAAGCTCACTAGAGGTGTAACTAGTGTAGAGTTAGCTTAATTAGTGTGTATGTGTAGCCTGTGTACCAAAACAAAATGTTTTTTATATGTAAAAAATATATATATACAAAGAAATATGAAGATGATGAAAGTAGCCTTGAGTCACTCGATGAGTGTTAAAAAATAACTGTGGCATCAGTCTGAAAGTAGGTGTCATGTGACCCTCACCATGAGGTCAGACTGGTTCCTCAGTGGAGAACGGTTTAGATCTTAGACGATGTCAGCTGTTAAACTTAAACTGATTTTTAACAGGGAGGTGATTTTTAAGACAAACTTTTGGACAGAGCCAGTCTGTTTATATGTTTTTAGTCCTTGTGTGAATAAGCTAACTGCTTGTTAGCTTGTAGTTGAACTCTCTCTCCCTTCCAGCACAGCTCCAGGTTTATTATGTGAAGCTATCCTTCCTGTGAGCGGGTGAATGTATCAACATGAAGACATAGCAAGGCTAGCGTTTTCCTGTTTGTAGTCCTAATGCTAAGTAAAGCTTAATGCCCTGAGGCTGATGGGTAATTTATTTGTCTTAAGAGCAGACCAGGCTAAATGTTTTCCTGTTTCTTATCTTGAAGCTAAATTAAGCTATCTGCAGGTAGCTGCCGGGTTTTTAGATTAACCTCTAAGCAGAGCCAGTCTTCTTGTGTGCTAACTTCTTCTAACCTGCTAAGTTAAGCTAACTACCTGCTAGCGTTAGCATCATATTAACAATGCAGAAGGAGAGAGACACTGATCTTTAACAAAAACAAAAGCACATTTATTAAATTTGAAGTTGCTGAAATGTCAGACTATTCCTTTAATCTGCTAAAAAAACAAACAAACAAGATAAACTCCTGCATAGACGGGACTTTTGTAGATGCATGTTTCTGCAGGTGACTTAACCACTTTTTCTGTTCCTGCATGTAAAGTTTTGTATCATTATTGGGTCAAAGGGAAAGGAATGCCTTCTCCCTCCTGTGGGCTGACACAAAGAGAAATGTGTACCAGGGTTTAGCTCACCAAATCACTTTCATAAGAATAAAAACAGTTCATAATGATTTTGGGAAACTAAACCCATCTACTAAACATTCACTTTGCCCCACACTCTAAAAGGAACAGGAGCTCTCTCTTCTCCTCTACAGAATTTACTTTTGGGCTTTTCATTCCCTCTCTCACAGGATGAGAAAGTGTGTCTATGTGTGTGTGTGTGTGTGTGTGTCATTTCCAGTTTATCCTCTTGCCTCTCAGACCAGTTTGAGACACTGCGTATTGAAGCTGTCCCCCTCCCTGCTGGCCACGGCCTCCAGCAGAGCCTGCTTCTTCTGGGTGCTGCGAGACGACTCCAGCTCGTACATGGTGGTCAGGTTGAACAGGACGCTCTCGTGGAGGTAGAGAGCGGGATCCTGCTGCACCAGACCCTCCAGCTGACCCAGGGACTCCTTTAAGCGGCCTAGATACAGCAAACACACCGCTGCATTGTTGTTGGCCTGGGAACATATGGAGGGAGGGAGGGAGGGTGAGGGCAAGAATTTGAATCAGTGCTGCACAATTAATTGAAAATTGAAATTGTGAAATCCCAGAGGCTGTAATATTTTGCCCTGCATTAACCTTAATGAAAATTGTCTTCTTGCACTATTATGACTTATGTGGCCAAAGGCGTGTAACATATGATTCGTAGTCCTGTCCTGCATTATGGCGCTGCTTTAGAGTGAAGGACTTGTTCACTTCAGTAGACGTGGAAACACTTACAACGGGGTTCTTTGGGTCAATTTTCAAGACTTCAGTGAAGGATGAGTGTGCTTCAGAGTAGTTGTTCTGACTGAGGTAGACAAAGGCCCTGAAGAATAAACACACATGGTCATTAGATCTACAAACACAACGATAAAACTAAATGAAAGAAAAATCATCCTATGCTTTGGTCATAGCTACATATCGATAGAAGCTCTGGAGAACATGCATGACCAGGCTTAAGGCTTCACGGGGTCGCTTCACTCTTTTAGAGTGTTTCATGGATTGAGTTCAGGATTCAGCACAGACAGACCACAAACATTTTTCTGCACAAAATTGGAAAAACCATGGCTTTATGGTGCCGGTTTTGTGCCCTGAGGTGTTGTTTTGTTTGAACAGGAAAGGGACAAACACAAACTGTTCACACAAAGTTAGAGGAAAACCTTTGTTTGTAATGTAGCTGCATACATTCCTTGTGTGTGCAAAACTGAGCAAAGAAAGCTGAGATCATGCACGCAGAGCTGTACCTGGAGTCGCCTTCATGCCTTTAATGTAGTTACATAAGTCGATTTTAAATAAAGTAGTTTAAAAAATGGTTTAAATAAAATCACGGCAGAATCCTCCAAAAATCCTGAGTGCCTGACAGTGTCAATCACCCGCCTGTGTGAAGTGAGCATCGACACAGTGCGAGTGAGACAAGTTGTCACCTGAGCTGTGTCTCATACTTCACATCTCCTCAGGTCGGAGGTGCACAGGTGTGCCCTCCTGTGCCAACACACACACACACCAGGAGGAAGCACAAACCTGCAAAAAAGCCCTGATGGAAGCTACTCTGGAGGAGGGAAAATGATCCTGAGCAGCTAAAAGCACACACACAATATGCAGAGGTGTTAAATAAACAACACACACGTTACCTGTTCATCAGCACACATGTGGTATGACCGGGCTGGCTCCCTTTCATCAGGCAGTCTTTCTCCGCATCCTGGAAGTACCTCTCTGCCGTTTTAACGTCTCCGATCTACCCAAGAACAAAGCAGCAACGACATCTTCAAAACGATCTGTGTGTGTGTGTGTGTGTGTGTGTGTGTGTGTGTGTGTGTGTGTGTGTGTGTGTGTGTGTGTGTGTGTGTGTGTGTGTGTGTGTGTATTGTTAAACAGGATACGCATTCATGAATTACGTTGGATTGTATGATGCCTCAGGGAAAGCTAACTTATTTCATCAGCAAACAATACAAACAGGAAAACTTCAAGAGCGAACAATAAGGACAAAACTAATATTTCTCTGATGATAGAACAAACAATAAAGATGCGAGGCATCAGGAGTTATTATTTTTACAGGAGTACAAAAAAGAAAGAAAAACAAATCGGTATTAATCCCATGTCTGTTCTTTTATTACAGAGCTAAAGTCAGGACGTGGTTTGCATAGGTTCGCTTATGGACCAACAGCTGGGAGGGGGGGAGGTAAGTGGACCTGAGGGGAAGTTATCTGCACTAACATATCTGCAAACCAACGAGTAAACACCCTGACTGTACAGTGTGTTAAGGCACAAAAATGGTCCACAGAAGAGTTTAAATACAGCGTCCTCTAACTGTGCACGATTGTTTTCAGAAGTTGTCGTGTTCTGAGCGTGAGCTGAGCACTGAAAACAAGCCGTGTCTGACTATGTTGCTCTTAGGATTTCTACAGCTTCTTTTTCACTTTAAGAGGTGCTGCTCCCATTCCACTGTGAAAACTTCACGCTGTGAGGGACATGTACGAATAACCAACTCGGGGAGATTTTGGGTGGCAGACTGTCCCTGAAGCATTTTCAGGAATGCATGTGTGAAAACAGCTTTAGGTGCATGTGTGTGTGTGTGTTTTAATGTGCAGACCTGGAGGAAGATGCGTCCTATGCCACTAAGCAGCTGCACCCTCTGCTGGGGTTCATACTGGATGGTGGAGTGATAGGTCTCCACAGCGAGAACATAGTCCTAAGAGACGGAGAGAGAGAGATAGTTAGATAAGAAAAAGAGGTTTAGAGAGTAAGAATGGAGGGACATACAAGTAAAGACACTAGTTAGAGGTGAGCTAGGTAAAACAGGGTAAAGAGTGGGCGGTGGAGACAGGTGGAGGGCGAGCAAGGTAAGTAAGAGCAGGGTTGAGGCTTGGAGAGAGAGAGGGCATTAATCAAACATATGGAGTATTAGCAGGGCGATGTGACCCTCGTCCCACCTCCACACTGCACCGCTTCACATCGCTCACACAATGACCAGACTGCTGAGCACGACGACTGAGCGAGGTCAGCAAGGTGTGTGTGTGTGTGTGGGAGTGCAGAGAGAAAGCGAGTGAAAGTACTTGGTTGTGATATGGCAGAGAGAGTTCGCTCCCTGTTTTTGTACATATGTATTATAGTGAAGTGTTTTTTTCTTAAGATGGTTTGGCTTTTACAAGTTTACAGTGTCCAAAACTCTGAACAAAATCAGACTTAAAAACCACAAATGACCACAAAGCAAACAGTTTCAACAAGGCTGATATATTAGCAATCCATGTTTTTGTGAAAGAACACATCCATGACATTTCCTTCAGCTTCAAACAAAAGAGGCATCAAATGTGGATTCATCTATTTGTAAGAAAAAGTCCAAAATAGGACAGGATTTCCCCCAGTTTGAGAAACACTTTCTTAAAAAAGTCTAAAAATGTTTGGAATAATATCGTTTTTAATCTGTATAAAAAGAAGGTCGACATGACAGCTCCCCAAAAGTGAAGCCAAAACATTTGGAGCTCCCCCTGCTGACTGGCTGCAGTATACAACAGCTCTTCCAGTCAGTCTGAGGGCACACTCACACTAAGCATGTGCCTAAGCATGCTTCACCCTCAAAGTCAGTTTGTTTGACTAGTGAGAGCTCCGAGCCTCAAGTACAGTACACTTCCTCGGCCCTGGCACGGTTGGGAGATGTCTGCTTCAGCACGGTACAGTTCATGCACAAGCACGGGTACACAGCGCTGACATGAAGTATAATCGATCCCAGCCTCCATTATCGAGATTTTGAGTCCGCCTTCCTGTCAACGAAGCATGTTTCATGATCACATAAAGCCATGCATGTTTTTATTACGACGTTGAGTACACAAGGTCACTGTGCTCAGGCCCGTTTAGTCCTAAAGCAGTGTGAGTGCAGGCCAGCGGGGGAAGGGGAGGGGGGGCAATCATGCTCATGTACGGGGAAACTTTGCCTAGTGTGAGTGACAAATATGTCAGCGCTGTAACAGAGGGTATTTTGGCTTCACTTTTGTACAACAGCAGGTGGAGGACATGCCTTCTCCATCTTTATGTAGAGTCAATGATTTCAACAAATGCAGTGATTTGAAAGACATCATTGTGTAAAGCATTTCCTTACATTGATGATGAAACTGTGGTTTTAACTTTGATTTAGATTGACTACACAATGAAGCAGTTTTTAGATTAAAATCTTCAGACTATAAAGTCAAATAAAAACCAGTGGCTTTCTAAAGAGTTTAAAGCATCTAAAACATGCAGTCAACGAAGAGATAACGTACTTATGATTTCAAGATGATGTCCTTGAACTTATAAAATCAGAATAGTCCTATAAATGGGAGAGTTTGCCATATTGAAACTGAAATGGAGCCAAAGTAATTAAACAAAAAGAATCAGTGTAATTTCTGTTCCTACCAGTAGGTGGCACTGTGGTTCTCTCTACAGTCTGAGCCACATCTACACCTCCACCTCTCTCTCTCAGTCTCTCTCTTACTGACCAAGAATCCAATTAGTGGTCAGTCTGGGGGGATTTCACTGTGAATCCTCCACCAGGCTGGCATCAGAGATCTCAGAGTCACACACACACACACACACACACTGAGAAACACTCCCTCCCGCAGACACACATGCAGACAGGCACGCAGACACACACCCATAAACACACTGTGAACGACACACACACGCACACACACACACACACACACTGAGAAACACTCCCTCCCGCAGACACACAGCAGACACACACCCATAAACACACTGTGAACGACACACACACACACACACACACACACACACACACACACACACACACACACACACACACACACACACACACACACACACACACACACACACACACACACACACACACACACACACACACACACACACACACACACACACACACACACACACACACACACACACACACACACACACACACACACACACACCTTCATCAGCAGCAGACAGTTGGCCATGGAGTACATGACCCGGCTGAGGCGAGACCTCCACAGCTTCAGAGACACTACAGACAGAAGAGGAGAAGAAGACAGACAGAGGGTTTAATTTGTTACTTTGTTTTTTTTTGGGCATCCCCCTTACTTCCCCCTCTCTCTCTCTTCCATCATCGTTCTTATTGCTTCATTGCTCTCATTACCCCCCTCCCCTCACCCGCTTCCTTCACACAGGTTTATTTTAAGTCGAGGTGGTGAGGAAGACACTGCGGCACACTCCTCTTTCCTCTCTTCCCTCAGACAGAGCGCCCTGTGGAAGAGCTTGTCTGCAGGCCTATTAGTATTCATTGCTGCACACATGTTCGCCTGTGTGTGTTAGTGTGTGTGTGTGCCTGTGTGTGTGTTGGGGAGAGGAGCTAATCACTCAGTTGGGGTCTGATGTGTGAAGGCAAGGCCCCTGCGTTATTGACTGTCGACTGTCTGCGTGGGCAGAGAGAGGAGAGACAGAGGGCACGGCTATTACGCTGCTTTCTGAAGGGGGGAGAAACTAGCAGAGGCACTGCGCCCTCACGCATACATCCGTACACGCCTCACCCCGCCAGTTTCCCCCAATTATAAGTAAGTGTCTTGGTACATTTAGCTCAACTTCGCAGAGTGGCTTGTTGTTGTGCATCGCCCTGAATTAGCCGATTAAATGACTTCTAGCTGCTTTTAACAAGAGAAAAACCTGACACAACCTTTGTAAAAGTTGCTAAATTAGTCATCACAGGACTCAGAACGCAGCATCGATCGGAGAAGTATTGCTGCGTGAGACAAGAGAAAAGAAGAATAAATGAACTCCATTTACATCAGTTTGTGAGGAGGTGTATCTCCCTAAAAGTGGTGAGTTTTTAAATGAGGGTGCTGCCTGTTTCCACGGCACACTTGTGCAGATGTGAGTGGATTGGATTGGATTGATCTGTATTGATCTGCTTGGTGTGAAGGGCTGGAGAGACCGTTTGATATTCAGCGCGAGTACCGAAGCAGTGAGGTGCTAAACACTTTTAGAGCACCGCATTGGTGGAGTTGGTGTGGTTGGAAGCGTGTGTAAACCGAGGTATGCTGCAATCCTGCACCAGGTGAGCCTCAGTGCTCGTGTGTTTGTGTGTGTGTGTGTGTGTGTATATATGTGTGTATTACCCACTGGGGCTCATGACCTCACTCTCCTTCCACAGTTTGATGCAGTCTGGGACTGAGGCCAGGTCTGTAGCCAAACGTCTGTGTGCAAAGAGTGTGTGTGTGTGTGTGTGTGTGTGTGTGTTCTTACCTTGCCTGTTCTCCTGTGTTAAGGTGATCATGCTGCCATCCTCAGCCAAGCCTTTCTCCAAGTTCTCCAGAATCTGTTAATGAGAGAGGGGGGTTAGGTGGGTGAGGAGGGTGGGATGCAGACTTCATAAGGTGGAAGTTGCTTCACTGCCAGAGCTGAAGGCTTTTTATCTGTTTGTATTAGAATCTGCATATTCCCTCTAAAATCCATTCATATTTGGCTGTTTACACAGGTGGGCTTAAGGATTTGTATGGCTAATGTGCTTCTGTGTGGGTGTGCAGTTTTATTGTGTGAATACTACAGAGTATGCATATCTTTATGTTGATCCAGAGGCTGTTTGTGTGTGTGTGTGTGTGTGTGTGTGTGTGTGTGTGTGTACTCACAGTGAGGCAGCCGGTTTTGAGAGTGTGCAGGCGGTCCAAAGCCTCCTGGGGCTTGGCCAGGTACTGGGGGAGCTCGGCATGCAGCAGCCGCATAGAGAACGGCACCATGGAACCTGGAAAGGAGGGGACGGAGGGGAGAGAGGGGGGGAGAAAATGTGTGAGGGAAAAGGGGGGAAATAAGAAACAGGGTGGGATGAGGACAGGAGAGAGATAGAGAGAGAGAGAAAAAAAAGAGAAGGGAAGGCGTAGTGAGACAGGAAGACACAGAGTGCGAGATGAGAATATAAACCCATCCGCCCACACACAGACTGCACACAGCCCTGAAGGCAGGAACCTACAGATGGCATTGAGCTACGTATGGCTGCTTATTAAACCCTCTCATCTCTCTCTCTCTGTGCTGCACAGCTCCATCACTCATCTCCCTGCCTCATCCCTCTGTCTCTCTCTGCCTCATCCCTCTGTCTCTCTCTGCCTGAGCATCATTCACACTGTCTCACACACACACACACAGGCACACTTTTCCCAAAAGGAGAAGCCTATATTCAGGTGAGTCCCCGGGCTTTGATCAGGGTCTCTTTGATATTGTCATCAGATCTGAAGGCTCAGCTAGCTGGTCCATCTTTTGCTGCTGCTTCTGCCAGTCTATGTATCCAGATTACTATCTCTCTTTCCCGTTTCAAGTTTCTACCTATGACATGAAACTCATCCCTCCACATTTACCCCTGTGTTTTTGGTGCCCTCTTTACTGCGTTTAATCTTCATGCTGACTGGACACAGCGCTCTCCTGTGGACTTGTTCTCTACTTTCTCTCTCTCGGGTGTCAGCGAGATTTATCAGCTTAAAATTAAGACTTTTAAGATTTTACAGTGTCTTTAAGGTCAAGTGTTTGTAACAGAGAGGAAACAGCCCATGAATCTACAACATTTCACAGATATTGTACAGATTTTTGACATTTAAATCCATCTATCTGTATAAAAATTTAAGTTTACAGTAAGCTGGCTATCCCTCCAACTACACCTTAAACACCGACAAAGGAGTTGTTGGTTCAAATGGTTCTCTACAGATATATTCAATGTCATTTTTGGACAATATGGATGCCAGTATTTGCATATTTTTCGAGTCTCTCCTGTCAAAGAATTTACATTTTTAAAATCATAGACTATAAAATGTGTATGTAGTCTCAGTGATGTCACCCATTGGTTTCTGAGGAGGAGTTAAGAAGCCCAACAATGGCAGTCACCATATTGGAAATGCTATCTCAACCTTACTTTCGATCAATCTAGTAATACTCAAAGAGGAAGAGCTGAAGTGAGCCTTAATATGAAATCAAAAAGGATAAGTTTTAGAAATTTCACACCCCCAAATGTTTTCTGGACCAGGCTATAACATTTCTGCTTTAAAGTGGGCATGTTATTATGGGGTCTAATGGGGGTTCTGTGGCTTTTGTATCCATCCTCCAGTGGACACTTGAGGAACTGCAGTTTTTTTGCACTTTTGCACCAGAGGGTAACGCTTGGTGCAAATGCAGACATTAAATATGTGCTTTCAAGATCATACCAACACAGTTTCTGAGCAAAACAAGACAAAAAAATGCATTTATACTTTACTGAAATTAGTATACAACATCTTATCAGCCGGCTTCAGCTGCATTAAGTTGTTGTCATGGTGCAGGAGATTACATGCTACTCAGTGTTATACAAAGTAATAAAGATTACTCACATCTTTACCAGATTCAACATTAAAGGGATATTCTTATAACTGTAAATCAATAGAAGCATATTTCTTATCTTGATAAAGGCCATGAATTTGCATAATTTAGTTGGGCTGTTATTTTCCCAGTTCACTGACTTTTTTAAGAGCACTATTGCAGACTTGGCAATAATCAATCAACCAGCTGAGGGATTTATTTTAAGAGAAGGTACGGAGGTTTGCATTTAACCACAAGTGTGTTTAATTCATCCTGTGAGAAGACTGGTGCTTCTCTCTCAAATGATTTATAGAAATATGAAAGGCTTCAGTGTGCAGCTTCATAAAAATACATGAATGAAAGCAGCTTGTCGAGCCTGTGGCACTCAGGTCTCAATATTTCTGCGTCCAAATTGGACGCAACGTTTTATTTAAAAAAAAACAAATTAATAACTGATTAACATTGAATTCTTCTTGAGCACTCAGTCAATTGTAATACTTGGAAGTGTGATACATGTGCTATTGTCTCTTAAGGCGTTCAAAGAGTGCGATCATGAGTAATAGATAGTCGATGTAAGCGTTGGGCTGGAGAAATGTTCGACTTCTGATGCCAAGGCTACACAACTCGTGCCAGTTTGTCTGCGAGCACCTAGCAGGGCACAGAGTGTTTAAATTGAGCAATGGAAAGTCAATCGGTGCTCTCTTTAAAAGGCTGTGCAGTGTAGCTTCAAGTACAAGAGTGTGTGTGTGTGTGTGTGTGTGTGTGTGTGTGTGTGTGTGTGTGTGTGTGTGTGCATGCAGCTGTGTCTCTGCTACTGCCTTCACTGTGGTAGCCCGAGGGGCGAAGCAGATCCAAAGTAATGGGAATACATTAGAGAGCAATTCATGCAGTGTAAAACGAAGGAAAACAAAACCAAAGAACTGCAGGAGACAAGTGGAGTTGTTGGAGCTTCTCGGCGATACAGTCTGATATCAAGCTCCTGGCACAAACTTTCCTTTGAATATTTAATAGGACAGTGCTGGTATGCTTGTGTATCCTTAAAAAAAAAAAACTGAGTAAAATGCAAAAATCCTTTTGGAGAGCAGGCTAAGTAATAACACATTCAAAAACTTACGGATAAAAATTTTAGAGCAGCTTTCAGCACTTTCCTGAATCCTTCTACTAAACCTTCAGTCACAGAGAAGATGCTTTTGGACCAACAAACGAAAAGAGAAGCTTGATTTTACAGAGATTCTGACATTAATCGCTAGGCGAAAGATCTATAATAATGACCCCGAGCTGTGTGTGTGTGTGTGTGTGTGTGTGTGTACCTCGTCTCCCGGGGTAAACAGTGGGGTAATACTCGTAGTAGAGGTCCGGTTGGTCCAGGTTGCCAAAGGGCTCAATCTCCAGCTCAGCGTTTTGATGCAGGTTGAGTTTGGTGAGGAGGGCGAGCCGCACAAACCACAGCTGGAACACACACAAACACGCCTCCCTCTGTTTATAACATGCATAAAGAATTCATCAAATATCACAAGTACAAACAGAAACATTAAAGATAGATTGTATAAATTATCTTATCTCAGCGGGTCTGAATCATCCATAAAAACAGTATGTGGTATGTTTTTTCCCCTGTTTTCTAACATACAAAAATACACATATGAGTTACTCTGTTACTGTAAAACATCCAAATATTTGCCAGTCAGTTTGATTTAAAATGGACAACATCCATCTTTGTCTAATACCTACATAATAAATCAAGACATTACAGTGGTCCAGTAGCCATTAAATGTCCTATAGATGTTATTCAAGAATGTTCTAATGGGGGTTAAATATTTTGGTCTAGAGCTCAACCACATGATTAAACATTAACGTGTTTTGCTAAAACTTCAAGGTGGGAGCTTGTAAACACAACACTCAAACAGGGCCCCCTCCTCCTGGGCTCATCACCCCCCAGAGGCCACACTCACTGCTGGGTTAGTGTGTACGTTTAATGCTTGTACCTAAACTGCAAGCTACCGTATGCTAGCACAAGCTAACCGCCAGTGTTCAGCACCTGCAGGCCAACTCCACGTCCAGAGATGAAAGCTAACTCAAGGTTCACCCTCATTTTGGAACAAGCTTCATCGTTTGAGCTTTATTTTTCTTGGTGTTTTGCCTCACTATGATTATATTTTCTCTTATTTGCCGCCATGTCTGTGTCAGTATTTTTTTAATTGTATCCACTCCTAAACTCTCCTTGCCCTGTCATTGGCTAGAGAAAAAACACTGATCCCCCGCCCAGAAACGTCCCGAGTCAACCAAAACAAAAGTTACTATGGAAAGATGATTATAAATGATTGAATTCATAAATTAGTTGATGATTGAGGAGGTGTTGTAGGTAAAACATTAATCTGGTCTGAGCAGATTTGTGACGTGTTGCCTCCACATTTTCATATTATCATCACACATATCCGATGGTTTAAATGACAGAAGGCTCCATATCGATATTTTATTTTAGACAAACTTAAACAGAAACGATACACATCAATATGTTTATGTTGCAGAGCTTCTCAACATCTGCAGGGCGCAGGCTGTTTCAGGACCATGTTATTGTGTGTCTCAGGGGTTTGAGCAGCACGTGGCCCATATGCAGTTGGACAGAAGCCCAGACACATGCTGCTGTATGCTGAAGTGACTGAGGAAAGGATGGACTACCTCCCAGTGAGACAACGACAAGGAAGGACCCAGAAGCCCTTGAGTTGTAGACGCCACCACTTAAAAAAGCTGTTCTCGTCTGTAATCTGTAATTTGTCAGGTATTTTTCTGAGAAGAAAAGAGCAACAACTTTTAAAACATTCGTTTTCTAAAAGTTTGCAAGAACTTTTTCTTCTCACTTACAGATCATCTTTAAGCTAAAGGGCGTAGGCAACACATCTTGTGTTGGTTTGCAAAATTGACCTTGCACCAACATGTGAATATCATGATTTGAACTGCCTGGAGTGATTTCATGTCTTTGCACTGTTTGCAAAATACGCTCTATGAAAAGTTTGCATTTCTTTTTGGCCAAACAACATTTTAATTATTACAGTTGCTTCCAACTTGGTTTATATTCCACATGCATTCAAGAGCACAACAATAAAACATCCACTCGCTGTATGGCAATGTTTGCCCACATTTTAACCAGTTAGATCGTCATTGTCAACGATTGATGACCTTGTTAGTGGCCAGTCTGCTCTGAATATAGCGAAAAACAAAATGTGTAAGGTTGGAGTTGTACAACCAGCTGTGCATGTCATTTCCTGGGTTCCTTATAAAAATGACCATTGATTCTTTTCTACCTGTGCTTTTATTACATGCTCATATAAACGTAACTTTCTTAAGTAGTGAGAAGGTTCATCATAGTGCTAATGTTCTGTTGGTGGTAAAAGGTCGACAGCGTCATGTTAAGATGTATATTTCTTTGGGATACTTTTGTTGACCTTTTGGCTTCATTTAGGGGCAGTAAATGGGGAAAAAGCACACATTTAACACACTTTGAAAGGGCTGCATATTTTAAAAAACCTTTGTGCATGTACAGTACTGTGCAAAAGTTTTAGGCAGGTATGAAAAAATGCTGTAAACTAAGAATGCTTTCAAAAATGGAAGTGTAAATAGTTTATTTTCATCAATTAACAAATGCAGTGAATGAACAGAAGAGAAATCTAAATCAAATCAATATTTGGTGTGACCACCCTTTGCCTTCAAGACAGCATCAATTCTTCTAGGTACACTTGCACACAGTTTTTGAAGGAACTCGGCTGGTAGGTTGTTCCAAACATCTTGGAGAACTAACCACAGAGGATTTTCTGTGGATGTAGGCTTCCTCAAATCCTTCTGTCTCTTCATGTAATCCCAGACACACTCGATGAAGTTGAGATCAGGGCTCTGTGAGGCCATGCCATCACTTCCAGGACTTCTTGTTCTTCTTTACGCTGAAGATAGTTCTTAATGACCTTGGCTGTATGTTTGGGGTCGTTGTCCTGCTGCAGAATAAATTTGGGGCCAATTATACGCCTCCCTGATGGTATTGCATGATGGATAAGTATCTGCCTGTATTTCTCAGCATTGAGGATACCATTAATCCTGACCAAATCTCCAACTCCATTTGCAGAAATGCAGCCCCAAACTTGCAAGGAACCTCCACCATGCTTCACTGTTGCCTGCAGACACTCATTATTGTACCGCTCTCCAGCCCTTCGGCAAACAAACTGCCTTCTGCTACAGCCAAATATTTCCATTTTGACTCATCAGTCCAGAGCACCTGCTGCCATTTTTCTGCACCCCAGTTCCTATGTTTTTGTGCATAGTTGAGTCGCTTGGCCTTGTTTCCATGTCGGAGGTATGGCTTTTTGGCTGCAACTCTTCCATGAAGACCACTTCTGGCCAGACTTCTCCGGACAGTAGATGGGTGTACCTGGGTCCAACTGGTTTCTGCCAGTTCAGAGCTGATGGCACTGCTGGACATCTTCCGATTTCGAAGGGAAATAAGCTTGATGTGTTTTTCATCTGCTGCACTAAGTTTCCTTGGCCGACCACTGCGTCTACGATCCTCAACGTTGCCCGTTTCTTTGTGCTTTTTCAAAAGAGCTTGAACAGCACATCTTGAAACACCAGTCTGCTTTGAAATATTTGTGTGGAGAGACCTTGCTGATGCAGTATAACTACCTTGTGTCTTGTTGCTGTGTTCATTCTTGCCATAGTGTATGACCTGACATGAAACTGTCTTCCATAACCTCACCTTGGTAGCAGAGTTTGGCTGTTCCTCACCCAGTTTTAAGCCTCCTACACAGCTGTTTCTGTTTCAGTTAATGACTGTGTTTCAACCTACATGTGACATTGATTGATTAGCACCTGTTTGGTATAATTGGTTGATCATACACCTGACTACAATCCTACAAAATCCCTGACTTTTTGCAAGTGTACCTATAAGAATTGATGCTGGTTTGAAGGCAAAGGGTAGTAACACCAAATATTGATGCGATTTAGATTTTTCTTTTGTTCGCTCACTTTGCATTTTGTAAATTGATAAAAATAAACAATCATTATTTATATTTTTGAAAGCATTCTTAGTTTACAGCATTTTTTCACACCTGCCTAAAACTTTTGCACAGTACTGTATGTTTAAGAAAGTAAAACAAATATGGAGCAGAAGCCAACAACATGGTCGATTCATTTCAAGTCACACGCACAGAGCTGAACACAGGGGTTTTCTAATGAGCTCATGCAGCCATCCATCTCCTGGATAGAGCCTCACAAAGCCATGAGAGATGGTGCAAATCATGTCAGAAGGAAAGCATTGAAACAAACAAAACCTCAAAAATCTATAATTTTGAAGGTGCTGTTTGTAAATGATTGGATTAATCTGGAGAAGAAGATGTGGCTCCACTCTACGACACCCACAAATACACAAAGAGAGACAGAGAAAAAGAAGCTGATGAGGAGAACACCCTGGCGTCTTACCTGCAGTGAGTCGGTGGTGTGGGAGGTTGGTTGGCCAGCCTTTCCGTATCCCTGACCATGAGCTGTCAGCAGCCGGCCTGTCAGATCCACTGCAGCGCGCCAGTTCTTACTGCTCTGCAGGGGAGAAGAGACACAACACATGAGATCTGAAACACACACCATGAGAATCTCATGGAAACATGAAGGAAGACCTGAGGCTATCAATGTGGCTCCAGATATTGCAGTCAAAGACTCCATCAAAAAAGCCCCATCACTGACAAGACACTTCTTTTGGAAGAGTCTATGTTTTTGATGATTGATTCAAATTTATCTTGAACATGTTAAAAAAGAAATAAACCGAAAAACAAGCACACTGTCTTGGGAACAATTTTGGTGGAATTAAGCATATGTCAACTCAAAGTTCAGACATATGACATTGGACACATTGTCTCTAGATGTCTGTGTCCAATGTTCTCACAAACTTCTGGAAAATGAATGGTGCGTTCAGTTTGAATTCTGAGTTACTGGTCATACGCCCATCAGAAGTCGTAAACTAGGAGCAACTTCAGTGTCCGAGTTCAAATCCAAGATGGCTGCTTCGTGCATCAATAGTAAAGTTTAAGCTGTAACTAAAATGTTTATTTGCATGGTGTATTTAAATCAATCACACTTAAAGTATCATGCAAGTTCTATCTATAGACAATACATGTCATGTTATTTTCATGCACAAACTATCATGTAGTGTGTCGTTATCATCAGGTATTAAGACTACAAAACAAAGGTACTCCTGAGGCTTCCATCTTGCTTGTCCAAATTGCAACTGGAACGCGGTGAACTTAGGTTTGACGTCGGTCCTAGCTCCGAGTTCTGAGGTAAATGGAAAATCACCATAAGGTTCAAGGTTTCTTTATTAGTAGCTAAAAAAGGTGAATTAAGGATACATTTTGTTATTGCATCCAAGTTCTTATAGTCGTAGTTTTCAATGCTGTTCACATCCAGGAGTCTTTTTTTTTTTTTTTTTTTTTTTTTTTGCCAAAACGAAGGATTACTTCTATGACTGTGGGCACATTTTAAAAAATAAAGTCCAAATTGGTAAAAATCATCCAATAACCGTAGCTTACTGATTATTCCTGACCTGGTAAAATTCCAGCTGCATCTCAAAATCCTCAGCACCAGGCTGTGAGACAGGTGTGAGACACTACAGCTGTCAGTGATGACGCACAATAACGATGGTGATTCATACATGTCTGAAATCTCAATTTAGTGCTAATGCAGAGAAAACCACGGAGAGTCTGTTAGGTGTGTGAAACAGTGAATAAGCGAATGAATCCCACTGGCTTGCCCAAGGACCTCTAATCCACTGTTGTCATTAAAAGTCATGGGAACACAGGTGACAAATATGTAAAGTGCTCAGAATAATAATAGAAAATTCAGAACTTCATCTGCTGATATATCGTGCAAAGTTTTGGATTAAGTAATTCTTCAATCTGTGTTCTGCCTGTAGGAGAAGTGCAGTTTATTTTAACCATTCAGGTATTCAAACGGTTACTTCTACTAAAATGGTATAAATTATTAATGATCACAACATTACAACATAAGCACAAGCTGGGTAAAGTTACAAAATTATGTCCTTTTGGAATAGCGACAATTTCATTCTGACCACAGTTGACTTTCTGTTTTGCCTGCATGGGATCTATCCATTGTTTTGTTCTCCAGTCAATTCCCTCTTTTTTTCTTGCTTATCCTGTTCTGTAAAAATATGCACAGGATGCTTTAATGAAAAAATCTCATCCTGAGGGTCTTTTATTTTTTTTATACCATGGCTTTAGTTCAGATAGATAAAGGCAAGCGGATCACGGCCTGATCTGCTGCTCCTGAATAGCCGAATGATTTTCTGGTATAAATGATATTTCAATCGAAGGACTGCACACACTCACACAGTGAGAGCAGAGCTACGAGCCGATTTCCCTAAATCAGGCCTTTTTTCCTGATCGTTCAAAATTACCAAAGCAGCTAGTAGACTTGTGTTTATTTGTGATGCAAGTTGTGTGTGAGGGTGAAAGACTGAAACACACATAGATCTGACTTCAACCTCCGTCTCTGGTAGTTTTCTATCGTCAGTGGTGAATGCTTGTCCCAATTTAACTCAGGTAGTTCCCAACAATCAGATCGTATAGTGTGAGGACATAAATAGTGAGCATTTGTTGTTAGGACAATAATGAGAACAACAGAGATGAAAACTTGAGCTGTAGTGCAAACACAGGATAGTATCAATCTCTTTAAATATACATAAAGTCCGGCGGCCAACATCGCCCATCAACTCCAATCACTTTCTGGCTTCTGGAGTTGGTAGACGAAATGTAAATAATGACGAGGGCAATGAAAATGACGTCTTTATCCCAATGGCTGATAACTGTTTGTTACACCCAAAGCCCTAGAAAAAACATCCTGTCTATATCTATATCGTTGAAGGTGTTAATGAATGGGCTCTGAAATTGATTGCCAAGTCTTAGTTGCCAAATTGTACAAAACAAAAGCAAATGTTCTTTATTGTCACAGCTTTTTTCATGTCAAACTAAATCAGGTCTCAAATGAAATCCCCAACGGGTAAAGACAACAACACAGAGCTTTTTGAACTGAGAGAATTCTCAGTAGAGAGGTGGTTCAAAGACAAAAGGCAGGACTTCTGAGAGACAATGCAGAAAATGAATCAAAGTCAAACACCTTTTTGGTCTCAGATTTACAGCAGATAAATACGACAGCTTAGGGAGAGAAAAGGGGGATCTTTTATCCTCTACTCTTTGTAATCTTGTATGACAGAGTCTAATCCAAGTGTATAATACAACATTAAATCTGCAAAAAGAAGTCCTTAATTATGAAATAAGAAAGGTGTGTAATGTATGTGCGTGCACAATGTTTACACTGATGTGTGTATAACTGACTGCCAGACACTGAAGCTGGAGGACAAAGTGGCCAGTCACACCCAAGCACAGTCACACACACAAACACACACACCTATATATTAGCAGCATCTGCTTCCACAGGAGGTGGTACAATAGGTAAGAGGGGGACAGAGGTGGTGGTGGAGGGGGGGTAGAGTCACCCCACCCCATCAACACACATGACAAGGTCGGCTCGACGATTGGGTTCTAAGTGCGGTGCCATTCATCAAAGCCAGGGAGCTAATTAGGAAAGGGGGAGAGAGAGAGAGAGAGAGAGAGAGAGAGAGAGAGAGACAGAGAGAGGAGAGGAGAGAGAGAGAGACAGAGAGAGAAGAGGAGAGAGACAGAGAGAGAGAGAAGAGAGAAAGAGAGAGAGAGGAAAGGAGAGAGAGAGAGACAGAGAGAGGAGAGGAGAGAGAGAGAGACAGAGACAGAGAGGAGAGGAGAGAGAGAGAGACAGAGAGAGAGAGAGGAGAGGAGAGAGAGACAGAGATAGGAAGAGGAGAGAGACAGAGAGAGAGAGGAAGAGGGAGAGAGAAAGAGAGAGAGACAGAGAGAGAGAGAGAGAGAGAGGAGAGGGGAGAGAGCGAGAGAGAGACAGAAAGAGAGAGAGGGCTACTTTCTTTCTAACCATCGCTTCACTAAACTCAGCAACATATTCCTTTCCCTTCCCTTCCTTCACCTTTTTTCTCATGCATGCAACTCTCTCCTCCTTGGATTATTCCCATAGTTTTTTCTCCTTCCATCCCCCTCATCTGTCCCTACCTTTTTCCACGTGTTTCAGCCTCCCTTCTCTTCCCTGGCATCATCTATTCCCCCTCCCTCCTTCCCTCTCCTCTCCTCTCCTCTCCTCCCCTGCCCTGTACCAGGAGCAGCACTGCCTCTGAATCTTCATTAGGAGGGGAAATGAAGCTGAAAACGAGGAGGCAGCCTGGATGGCCAAAAGCAGCTGCAGTCACTCACACACACACACTCACACAAACACACACACATATCCTACAGTATGCTACAGTACACCGCTGCCCTGCCACAGGGTGATACAAGACAGTGGTTCAAGTGTGTTTCTAGGATATATATTGGAGGAGGTGAAAAGAGAAGAGCCAGCAGTGATGAAGCTGCACACACACACAGAATAGAGACAGGGCACCGAGGAATAAAGAGATTGAACAGGGGATACCGATGGAAAAAATCTAGCCCATAAGTATTGAAAGAGTGCAGGAGTCTGAGTTGGCCATAGAGGACCAGAGACACAAAAGCACAAACTCTGGAACAAGAGCTGGAAGAAATAAAGAAAGTAGTGGTGGGTAGCAGGGAGGAGAGGAGAGCTGGGGGCCAATGGGAGCTGCAGAGATTCACAGCAAGGAGCCAAAGTGAAGAAAAAGCTGGAAAAGTGAACTTCAGCACATGCCTTACGTAAGGATGCTGCATTGCTGCTAAGCATAGCTTTATGGCATGATATTATCGCACAGCAGCCTATAATTTAAGGTCTTGAACCAAACGTTAAAGGAATACAGTAATACTGGAGCAGTGATTTGAGAAGTACACACACGCAGGCTTTTTGTTTGGAGAGGCGACCTTTTATGACCAGCAGATCACAGGGTCAGACTCCATTAAAGTTAGCATGCAATTGTGTGCGCCCTTGATGTGAGGTAATGACATCTCTGCTCCACTTTCATTTATGATGATTGAACCTGAGCTCTGACCCCACTGATGAAAAAAAAAAAGGAGTGGGAAAAATTACAGATTAGATGGTGTTCAACATGCTAATAAAGTACAGCCCTGTCTCCACTTTGATCCACTGTTACAATGACTGAAACCACACTTTTTACTCATTTTGTTTCATACAGACTTGGTGAAGTGTCCTCCATCTCTGATCACACTGCTTCAAGTACAGAAGAAAATCATCTAATGTTGTCCTGCTCTGTGGGAGAGATGACTAAGGCAACTGGAGACAATGTCTCTTCTTAAACTAAGCAATGTCTTTCAATTGCCATTTTCAGAGTGTGATTCCACATTCATATTGGTATCCAAGTCAGTTAATTAACTTTGCATTAGGGCGCTGCAGAAGCACAAGAGAGCACGGCACAGCAGGAGCTCCACATACACACAGTCAGATATGCACATACACACAGTGCTGCACTCCCCCACTGGCTTCACCAGCCCTGTACCCACTCTGATACTACCTCAGAAGGC